GAGTATGCTAGGGCTGAATCTGAATGACAGGGTGAGAAATAGTGTGATAAGAGAAAAGTGTGGTTTGCAAGATGACGTTGTGACAAGGATTAAGAAAGGAATACTTCGGTGGTTTGGTCATGTAGAAAGAATGAACGAGGAAAGAGTGACAAAGCAAATTTATGTTGCAGAAGTGAACGGCAGGGTCGGGAAGGGACGCCCTAGACGTAGGTTTATCGACCAAATCGGCGATACATTAAAAATGGGCCAGATTAGGAGTACCCTTAACCGACGAGCGTGTATGCGTAGATATATGGATGTAAAAGAGGCGAGAGAGGTGTGTCAGGATCGCGCCAAATGGAAGTCCGTAGTCTCTGCCTACCCCTCTGGGTGACAGGCGAGTGTTTATGTATGTATACCGTATATACTTTCATATGCAATTAGTAAGAAGCTGTTGTTTTGATATTACAAACAGACACTTCAATTTTATTTATTTGTATAGATGGGACCACCCCTGAAGTGTAGCCTATTTAATAAAAAAAACACGAGAGAGGGAGTGAGAAGGTGAGATCTTTTTAATTCGACCTAAAATATTATTTATCTTCCCTTTTCACCCCATCAAAAATAAACCCAGAAATGGGAAATTTTGGTTCGAATTTACGTCACTTGCTTATGTGTGCCCTTATCTGATTATTTACTGGCCCGAGGGAGTTAAAACTTTAAAATGTTGCAGTGTTAGGCCACACTACACCTATATTGTTTTTATAACTCACTAAGACTTATTAAGGAATCCTAAGGAGCAATAGCTTCTTCAATTTTTCAATTGACACCTTTCGGCACAATCCAGTTAAACAAAGGTGACAAACTGCTGTTTTGGTTCAGGTCATAAAATAGCAGTTATTTCGTATGAATGTTATTAAAGCCGAATAAGCCATAAAGCATATCTGTATATATAAACATATATTCACAGGATAATTTGCCATCTTCACAGATAAGAAGCATCGGAATTAGCCGCTTATTACCCTTCTATTTAAAAACAATATTTTAACAAAATATTTCTAATATTATAAAACCAAAATAAAGGAAATTATTTCATCTAAATCATTTATACGAGGGCGACACTGAAAGTTTTTAAAACTGGCCAATTGTGAACGATATAACATAAAAATAAGTTCAAATTTTGAAAATGGAACTCTGCCAATATTATTGTGTATGTATTTTCTTAATTTGTCATTTGTTTACGATTTGGCGGCAAAATGAAAATTATCACGTCAGCATGAATTTAACGCGAGAAAATTTTCGTACAATGATTTTTTATGACTTTCGATGTCATTTAAGTCAAAGTTATGATAGACTTCGATTGGCCTTTCACGATGAAGCCCCATCTCGTGCCACTGTTTTACAACTGGTTTAATGAGTTTAAACGTGGTCGCACTAATCTCACCGATGATCTGCGTGAGGGACGGCCTACTACGGCGACGACTGAAGATAACATCAGTGTTTTGCGGCGCATGATAGAGACTGACAAAAGAGTGACTTATCAGCAGATCCGGACAAGCTTAGGCATCGGTATGAGTCAAGTGCACAAAATCCTCCATGAACATTTAGCGGTCAGGAAGCTTTGTGCTCGGTGGATACCTCATAATTTGACAGAAGCCCAAAAACTCCGTCGTGTTGATTGGTGTCGTGAAATGGTTCAAAGATTTAACGGAGGTGACTCAAATGCTGTATTCGACATACTTACGGGTGACGAAAGCTGGATTTATTGTGATGATCATGAAACTAAGAGACAGCCTGCTGTCTGGGTGTTTCCTTACGAGGAGTCGCTAACTAAAGTGAAGAGAGGTCGAAGCGTGGGTAAAAAAAAAAGATGGTGGTCGCGTTTTTCGGATGGACAGGTCATTACGCAACAATTGTTTTAGAGGATCGAAAAACAGTTACTGCGGAGTGGTACACTAACAATTGTTTGCCACTTGTCTTGTAAAAAGTTCGGGAGAAAAGACCTTGCAGTAGGATTCTCCTTCACCACGACAACGCCTCGTTGCACATTGCTAAGCAAACAATCGACTACTTGGCGACGCCAGATGTGGAATTACTGGGTCACCCGCCCTATAGCCCCGACCTCGCACCTGCGATTTTTATTTATTTCCGAAAATAAAAGAAAAACTTCGAGGAAAACGTTTTATGGACCCCTAAGGACGAGTGGGCGAAGTGCTTTAGTTTGTTCAGTTTTTTGATTTTCTAAGAACTTTCAGCGTCACCCTCGTATGTATATTAATTTATTTGCATGAATATATATATATATATATATATATATATATATATATATATATATTCATGCAAAGTAATTAATAATGAAACTAATAACAAATACCAAAATAAATGTATTAAGTAATAAAAATAAACATGTAACATTCGCGCAGTTCAAACTGACAAAGATCCATCCATCATGTGTAAAAAATAAGTAAGTAATTTACTTAATTTTTGTGAAGCACTATATTTAGCAGCTGTTACAGGGAATACCTGTATTAATCTATCTTATTTTGGACATAAGTGTAACACACCTGATGTACCTACGGCGTTTGAGAGACGCATTTCTAGCATCCGACACGAGGTACGTTCGTCTCAAGGCGGTTAGCAGGAGAGTGTACACGCTGGAGACTATGCGAATCAAAGCTTCGAGAACGGGACGCCTTTCTGGCGTCCCGTCCACTATGATTTGAGCGAACTTGTACTGCCTGGGGGAGGAAAACTCGTTTACAGCTCCCAAATATTATAACTACTTATATTACAGGATTTGTATGGTTGCAGACGGAAAGTGTTTACATTTTTTAACTTTAAAATTTTTTTCTCTAATGATTTCATTTATTTCCCTTCTTTTTTTAAATGTTGCCCCTCGCACACATAAATTGTACATGGACTAAACACCTGGGACAATAATTTTACATGCGGGTATCGAACCCACAGTCCACAGCCAAAAGCTTGTGACAACGCATCTACATTTTGATTTGTAATAGAAGATAGATGTAGATGTCTATGGGCCGCAGCAACCACTTACCATCAGGTGGACTGTGTGCTCGTTTGTCACCCTTATCCTATAAAAAAAAAAAAAAAAAGCTATGCTTGTTAGTCCCTTCGCTACCTCACTCTCTAGATATCAAAAATATTATTAACAAACATTATGTTTTATAATAATGATTTGGCAGGAATCACACTGGGGTGACTAGCATAGGGTGATCATTAGCCTGTGACCACACGGTATTAAATTTTTGGCACATAATTATATCATATTGTTACCATATTTAAATTGCCCAAAAGAGAAATATGAAAACTATATGCACTGAATATTTTTTTTAAATACTAGTAATGCTTATAAATATTACTAATATTCCCTTTAACCACTTCTGGTAAGCTTAAAATGCTTGTGTTAGAAGTGGTTCACGACAGTAGTCAAATGGCGGATTCGAACCCACGACCTTTCGAGTTCGTAGTCCACGCCCTGCCATTAGGCTACTGTCGCTTCAATATAACTCAATATCAATGTTGTTATAACATTAATGTTTAGCACAGTCAAAACTCAACTCTTATCAGCATAGATAACCCTGAACATTGTAATGAACTTGACTCCCATTTCACATTAACGTTTTGATGGGATTATTTACTTTTTGAATTTAATAGTGATAGTTTGTCGATTTTATTATTGCAAATAATAATTATTATTAGTTCAGAATATCTCACGAATTTCAACCCTGAAGACACATAAATGTCAAATACAGCCTGCTCAAATGATAATTTTCATTTGTTTATGCAACAGTAGTTAATTGCTAGTGGGGTACTGAATAATTTCTTATTGAGTATACCTTTTTCGAAAAATAATCTAGTTAAAAATTATCTAGTTAAATATTATTATATCTCAAACTTTGTGACCCTGTATCATTGATACAGTAAATACAGTGGTAGCAATGAATATGAAAATTAAGAAAATGATGCACGGAGCAGCCAAGATTTTTCTAATTTTACTATAATACAAAGATTAACAAATTTAATATTCACCATGTTTGCAGTGGCTGGAAGGAAGGGGATAAAAATCTGTTTTCTTTATATATTATATTACACCAGTTAGATAATAATAATTAGTACAACATTCATATATTAGGTTCTAAAATATTTTAAAATACAACAGACTGTAGGCATATTTTATCTTTGAAAAGAGCAACTTGCAAATTATTAAAGTCCATTGCTGAACATAGGCCCCATAGATTGCCTCATAGGGGGGATATTTGCCATAGTTACCACGATTGGCAAGCTGTTTAGCAACCGCAGTTTTTTATTTTTATTTGTTATAAGAAAGACCCTGCCGCTCATCTCCTGACTTGTTTCCCTCTGTCGCCTCTTACGACACCCAAGGGATGATGTGAGGTTGTGGATATTCTTACAATTTCACTACACGGTATTTGAATTTATTTTGAAAAGAGCACACACATTTATTTAAAAGTACCAAAATTAAATGCCTTTACTACTGTAATTTTTAGGTGGTAGAATTACATACCAGCGTATTATGGCTGCAACATGAATTGGTCGGTTTAACCATGGAAGGATAGGTAGATAGATAGATAATTCTTTATTGTACTCAAAACAATTTGGTACAAAGGCGAACTTAATGCCGAAAAGGCATTCTCTGCCAGCTAACCCCATGCTCACACAGAACACCAGTATGAAATAGCAGCATAATGTTACAAAATGTATTGTGAGAGACCAGAACCAGATTAGATTACTAGATACTGGTAACAAGGCATTTCATCTGAGTCCTTAGAGAGTCACTCTCACTGAACTGCATTTTCTTAATTGAGAGTAGATGTAAATGTTTAAAGCCCACAGCATATGCTTCCCTTTAGGTGGACTGTCTGCTCTTTTGTCCTTATAATTATACATATATATTATTGATAGTATATGTTATGTACTTGTTTATTTTTTATTGCTGCTAAATATTAGAATTTGATTTAATAGAATAAATTACCTACCTCTCATCACAAATATTATCTTCATGATGCTGCAAAGAATGTCGTGGGTAAACATGAGTGCAGAATCTGCACTCTAATGGTAGTTCAGACACCGTCTTCTCAACAGCAAGGTTTCTTGAAGCTGAAGTCTTAGAGATCTCAATACGACAGATAGGACACGTGGCTGCTTCATCTCTGAGCCTAGCATCCGCCAGCAAATGAGTAAAACAAGGAGCACACATAAGATGTCCATTTGTACACTGCAAAGTGAGCAAAAATGTTAGCATGTCAAGGCAATAATAATCCAAAAACATTTGCACAATACAAAATGAAGGAAGAAAAAAATATAATTGTCAAAGATGTTAAACTATTATGCAGATCTTAGCGAGTTGATTTTTTTAACATCCTTTATATAGTTTTATAAGTTGGCTCGGCTAACTTTATTCTGCCCTATCTGGTAGTTGGCTCAACGGGTTTCACTCCAATTTCACTCGACATTAGTATGCATATAAAATGTATAATACCATTACCGTACCATCTATGAGGTCCAGATTTTGTGATTTTCTTAATTGACACTAAATGAAAATATATTGTAAAATATGAGTAATTACGGTTCATTAATTTACAGCACCATCTTCTGGATCTAAATTTAGTTAACCCTAGCTAAGACCAATTGCTACAACAATATAAATATACTGTGAGTATGAATTCAATTGGTCTAGTTATTCAGAGGTTGCACAATGACTAACCAACAATGACCAACAATTATCATACAAAGACTAAGAGTACTTTTATATTTTTGTTCAGCTACTTTTATTATTCTTTACCGTCAGACATCCTCACGCACAATGCGAATGAAAGAAATGTATGTCAGGCGTACAACATGCATATGAAATGTCAATTCTAATATAGTTGTTCACATTCCAGTGTAAACATATTTGAATGTATTGTCTTCAAATTAATTTTGTAATAAATGGGGACTGAGATACAAACAAAACTTGAGAATAGGTACTCACTCAATCACTCATCTTTCTTGGTATAATATGACTTAAATACATAGTTATGATTTAATTGTTTCATGGGGATTTTATCTAAATGTATGTTGTGTAATGTGGTTATCTAGACTACCTCAGCCCTATCATGACATGACTTGTTTAGCAAAACTCACTTGTTAAATCAAAGTAGATATAAAAAAAAGTTTAATATATTGAATTTTTAGTTTCAACAAAATAACTTAAAACAAAAACATGAAATGTAATGTGTTTAATTTTATTATGCCAATTTTGTAACCAAATAGTTGTGTAGTGCATTTTCTGCAATGAATAAAAGGTAAAAGGAGGGGAGTTTAATAAAGAAAGAACTACATGTCATGAAATATTATTTATTGTAGTGAATTACTACTACACAGGTGAATACAAAATTTATATTTTGGTAATTATTTACCCACAGTGAAATTGTACATACAATGTCACAATAAGATACAATATCAGAGGCCTTAAATCTAACAATGTAGGTGCTACAATAATTACACAATAATAAGTCACACAGTAACAAATCATACATGTCCATTAATTTAAATCATGAACATTCTTTGTAAATATACGCCGTATGTTCAAAAATCCATCAATTTAGAAACATATCACAATATCACGAATTTACAAAATATCATTATTAACAAACTACGACAGACTTTAAAATAATTTATATTATTCCCTTGTTAACATCAAACGTCGTTTTGGAAAATTGAAAAAAAAAATAGATTATGTTTATTTTATAAATGTTACGTAAAACGAAAAAACAGCTGATGAACACGTTTGCTATCAGCTGTTTTGGAATACCTGATACACGGCCGCTGGAGGCAGGTCCAGGCAAACTGCGCAGCATAAAATACCACCCAACCTGTGCTCTAGTTTTTCAGAGTGCTCCTTCTCTGATAGCATTTTACGTTTTTTAGCTAAAGGTGCGTCTTCTTTTACATCAGATTCTATGTTCTCGCTGGACGATGGTACTGGTTCATTTTCTGGCGTTTCAGCCATTTTATTAACTAAAAAAACAAGGATTTAACAAACCACCAAATTTAGCGTCAAATATACTGCTGCAAAATTAAACACAAATTACAATCACAAACGCAAGTAAAAGGGCAAAACGTAAACAAAATGACAACTTTTTTTAGCTAAGCTACTAAGAGACAGCGTTGTCAACACCAATTTGTCAAATTCCCCAATTTAAGGACAAAACTTCAACAGATTCCCCACAAATTCCCCTCAATTTTATTTTAAGAACTGAAACAATTTTGAACTAATTTAATAAGATTTATTTTTTAACCAACATTGTTTTTCTTTAAAATTTAAAAATAAAGAAATGAAAAGCAAATGATACACAAAAGTTGCCGAAATAAATCCGAAAATTAAATTTTGTGCAATGAAGATAAAACAAAGGAGTCATTCGATATAATGTTATGATAGGAATGATAATACAATAAGTGAAATTGAATGATCTATAACTTTCAAATAAATTGTCATTACGATACGCGCGCCACCTTGTGTAAGTTAATTGTACTATGCCTATAATAAATACTTACTGCTGCGATTAGTTCAAAACCAGATGATCATTTTATAGTAATTGGTGATTTCAACTTGCCTTGTATAGATTGAAAATTAAAGAATCGTATAATACTAAAAAAAGGGATCTGTCGATATACAGAATCCTGCTGTCGATCTAATAAATACTACTTCGTGTTTCGGTTTATAATAACAGTACCGTCTCAATAAAACTGAATACCACAGGAACTTCTTTCCCTATTCTAAAAGGAGTTAAACAGGGTGACCCATTATGGCCGAAACTCTTCACTCGCTTCACTGGCTCGACAAAGGCATCAAGATCGGATCAAAGAAATTAAGCAATCTTAGATTTGCTGATGATATTATTTTCTTCGCGTCTTCGGACAACGAACTGGGAGAAATGTTTAACGAGCTTCGGAGAGCTAACCTGGAGGTTGGATTTCTGATGAATATGGAAAAGACTAAGTTAATGACAAACCATGTCAGGCACAGGATACATATAGATGACGTGGAGGTTGAATATGTTCATGATTATGTTTATTTGGGCTATTTGGCCCAAATAAACATAATCATGAACATATTCAGTCTCTTTCCAGACAAGGCCAGAAAAAGAGATCGCCCAACGAACAGAAAACGCCTGGAAAAGCTACTGGACCTTAAAACACCCAATGAAGGGCGACGCATCGATATCCCTTAAACGCAAACTCATTGACATTTGCATCCTCCCCGTCTTGACATATGTTGCTCAAACCTGGTCTCTCAACACACAGCAGAGGTCCAATCTCGGGGTGTGTCAGTGAGCAATGGAGCGCAGCCTGCTAGAAGTTAGACTAACAGACCACCTCAGAAATACCACTTTGCGCTCCAAAACCCAAATCAATGACGTCTCCCGTAAATCCGCTAAACTAAAATGGGACTGGACCGGTCCTGTCTGCCGTATGTCAGAAGAACTTTGGGCCAAAATTACTACTCGGTGGACTCCTATAAATGGCAGACGACCCTGAGGCAGACCCATAAAACGATGGCGGGATGAACTGGACTCCTTCATTGAAGACTGGCTGTCCATAGCACAAAACCGTGAAAGGTGGAAAGAGGTTAGGGAGGCCTTTGCCCAGCAGTGGGACGTTTTAGGCTGATAAGGTAAGATTTCGGTTTATCTCAACACAATTATTTAAAGATGTATTTCATCCATCAGTTGATATTTATGTGACGGATATAATAGTGCCTACAATTAAACCAAAAACTAGAAAAAGAAACTTATTTAGGAAAGCTGATTATAATAATTTAAATACTTCTTTCTCTAATTACAATGTTTTTTTTTTCTAAAATCTCATGATTTGGAATACACAATTGACACTTTTTATGTAACACTAAATACCGCTAATTTTGTGCCACAAATAATTGCGTTGCATACTCACAATTATCCTGTTTGGTATTGTAATGCCTTAATAGAATTATAAAAGAGTTTCTTATTTGCGGTCAAACATAGCCACAGTATAAATATGAACAGTATGGAAACTAACCCTAGTTGAGGATATAATTACCTACGCTCCATTGAAGCAATAGGGTTGTAACTTTTAATGTTTGATATTGCTTTTTTTATATTTTTGTTCTGTAGTGATCAATCAATCGAATTTAAATAACTAGCTTACAAATACAATTTAAATAGGTAATCTCAGCAAAAAACGATAGTTTAAACACGGAAAACAATTTAATATTAACACACAACAACTTATAGAACTTTAACTTTGTCATTATGGCTTAACCTTTTACAAGTTTCGGCGGGAACGTACGCGAGCCGCAGTTGAACGAAAACGTAACTTTATTCTTCACTAGTTGTTTCCTGCGACTTCGCTCGCGTGTTAGGGTTTTTATTTTTTAGAAGTCTCGTCGTTGCGCATGTTTGTGTGAGTGTGCCGTTTCGAGCGTTTGTAGGAAGTTTCCGTACTGTTCTTACTATATATTTACTGTGACATAGCGTTCGGACACTAGACGTACGGATGCCCACACACCAGGGTAACTGAGGTTATGTAGGCGATCAAATGTTGCCCGATGGAAAGGTTTAGTTAGAAATGATCAAGGCCGACCAGTTGAGGTGTCACACCAAATGGTGACGTCTGTACCTACCGGGAATACTCACCTGCTTTAATTTCAAGGAGAATGAATTGCGATGCTCAGCAAGCTCAGGATCAGACTCCTGAGACTTTGCTAATGCATTGTAATCTTCTTCGAGAGAATGTAATTAATGTCCGTGATGAACTGGCTGATAAAAGACAACTGGTTAAGTTTGGATGGAGTGAGTTTCTCTCGACGCTGTACAAAAGCGTACAGCAGCTATTTGTGGTCAGTAAAGCTTGTGGCATGTTGAACCTCGAGAATATGACGGAAATTTTGTACACTTTCGTACACCGCCAAAAGTTCTCGGTAATAGGCAGGCCATCCGGCTTGTCGAGGTATTAGTTTTTTACTGAAAAATGCCAGTGGTTGCTATTGACCATTGACTTGTTGTTGTAAACAAGATCTGACGTGAACTCTAGAAGCATCCGTAAAAAGGCCCAGTGGTGCGTTGTTCACAGGGTGCTGAAGGAGCGTGGCATCGGATAAGCTGTGCTTACAGGCTTCGTGCAGCTTAGGTGTCCATGGGAATGGCTTTGCGCCTATGTTGTTAGTGGCAACAACAGCTTCAATTAGTGGTGCTTGAAACTTTGCAGCATGAGGTATAAAACGGCGATTATAGGTAGTCATACCGAGAAAACGCCTCATGCCATGCACGGTTTCAGGAGGTGGAAATTCTAGAAGAGCCTGTACTCGGTCTTGAGGAGTGTGAGTGCCTTCTGCACTAATGAGATGGCCGAGAAACACTATTTCTTGAGCACACAGGACGCACTTGTATGGGTTAATAATAACTTCATATTCCTGAAGGCGTTTAAACAAGATACGAAGGTGTTCCTGGTGAGTAGCCTCATCTGGAGAGAAAATTAGTACATCGTCAATGTATGGAAAGAAGAAATCGAGACCGCGTGTGATCCCTTCAATTAATCGCTGAAAGGTCTGTCCAGCATTGCGAAAACGGAACGTCATAAAGGGAAATTCGAAAAGGCCAAGCGGGGTAACGATGGCAGTCTTCGGAATATAGCCCTCAAAAAAGGGCAATCTGATGATAAGCTTTTATTAACTCGATGGTACTAAAGATTTTTGCTCCAAAGAGAGAGTCACTGTGAGAGAAGTCAGTAATTTGGCGTACTGGGTATCGGTTCGGTATAGTCCGAGCATTAAAGATTCTTAAGGATCACGATAATCGCCACATGGACGCCATAAGCTATTTTTCTTGCGAGCAATCTGTAATGGGAATGTCCAAGAACTTTTAGAAGGTCTGGTTATACCACATCGCACCATATCCTCAAACTCTTTCTTTGCTGCGACAAGTTTATGAGGTGCCAAACGACGAGGACGACATGAAACTGGAGGCCCCTCAGTGGTTTTCATAGAGTGCAGCGTATTACAGCGCTTCACAACTTTAGGAAGGTTAGGAGAGCGCGTAATGTCCGGAAACTAGGCAAGAACATGCGCGCAGATTGAGTTGCTACGTGCCACAGCTTTCACACTGTCTTGAGTGATATTACTTAGTAGACACGGAAAATGTTGTATTGCCGTCAATAAGACGTTTATGTCGGCAGTCTGGCAAAAGATTGTAATAGCTGGTAAAATCAGAACCCATTGATCGGAGTACTCACATCGGCGATGACGAAGTTCCAATGAAAATCTTGCCATAATCCAAAATTTAGAAGGAGGGAGATGCTGCCATAGGTCTTAATGGAGCTGCCGTTTGCTGAGCTGAGATCATAACCACTACTTGTAAAGCGGCCCTTATGAAGACGCTGAGGGAAACAACAGAGATCTGAGCCGGTATCTATTAAATACTGGTATTTAGATGTCTGGTCTGTAACAAAAAGTCGGCGGCTAGGTTGAGCACAATCAGTTGCCCCCTCTACTGACTGTTGCTATTGGCTAGTAGTCCAGTTACAGGGGCTTACACATTTAGTGGCTTTTATTTTGAACCTTTTATGGTACCAACATAATTTCACTTACTGCGTGCGCGCCCAGGTCGCTGATTAGCAGAAAGGACTGCAACCTTACTGGTCGATTCGGTTATTTGTTGCACTAAGGCTTCGAGAGTGGATGATGTAGATGAAGTTTTACAAGAGAAAATATAATTTCTAGGTCCAGCAATCTCAAAAACTTTATCAGCTAGTTTTGACAACTTATCTAAGCCAAGGTCAGTCTGTGAGGCTAGGATAGCCTGAACTTGTTGTGGAAGTTGACGAACCCAAAGCTGCTGCAAGATCTTTTCATCAGATAAAAGCATTACCAGCTAACGAACGAGGTGCCGGAGAAACTGGGATGGTCGTCTATCGCTAGGTTCCTCCTCGCTGATGAGTTGCCTTACACACTCCTTCGCAGACATACAAAGCCTC